AGCGCATACACCACCCAGATTACCGTTTTCCCTTGCTCCCGGTACCTGCAATGTCTCCGTTCTACTGAGACCCACATTATTCCTTACCCTATTGAAACCTCTTGCTACACGTGCCCCCTATGAACCCACACTTTTCCCCTCTTTCTCACGCTGCTCTAAACAGAATCGGCCACCCGAGCTCACTCTGCTGACTAATGACCTCTATCGCGAGTACCTGATTGGTAAAACTTGTGCAGTATAAGCAGATTCCGCTTACATTGTGGGACACCAAGTTGCCTCGGGAGCAGACTGTGGTGTCGCGTGTAAGACAACCGGAAATGAAAACCAGGTTCACGTGCAGGCTTTATTTGACGTCCTGCCCCACCGTCCTGATCATATTTTTCACTTCCGGCCCCTCGGATATTAAACTCACGGTCTTAGCGCGAGCCCTGACGCGCCCACTAAGAATACAATGCTAAGTCGAATACAGAGACTGCTAGCATATTTGAGTCCTACTCGCTGCTCATTAACTTCTATCCTGCTCAGCTCGCGACAACTCACGAAACTTTCGTATACCGTTACACACATCTAATGGGGAGAAGGTGGGTCGCGTATACCACCAAAACCGTATGGTCACTATGTCACGGCCTTATTTGACCTTTACCTTGATCCTATTTCCCTTCCGCTCTATAACTCGGCCCCTAATTGACCTAGCGCTACCAAACTTGGTATACTTACACATCTTGGGGAGAATGTGTGTTGCAGTACCAAAACCAGGTCACTGCGGCTTTTATTTGACCTTGACCTTGACCTTGATCATATTTCCCCTTCCACTCTATAACTCGGCCCCTAATTGACCTAGCGCGACTAAACTTGGTATACTTACACATCTTGGGGAGAAGGTGTGTTGCGTACCAAAACCAGGTCACTGCAACCTTTATTTGACCTTGACCTTGACCTTCATCATATTTCCCTTCCGCTCTATAACTCGCCCCTAATTGACCTAACGCGACCAAACTTCGTATACTTACACATCTTGGGGAGAACACGGGGGATACATGTAGTTGGCGACAACTGCCCTTTCTAGTTTTCCATACACATGCACGCTCGCCGCACGCGCATGCACGTACAGGTGCACGCACGTACAGGTGCACGCACGCACGCACGTACACGCGCACGAACGTACACGCGCACGCATCACTCTGCTTCTCTGCTTGGATCATATAAATAGATTGAGACATTCGATTTAAAAGCGCTTCTTGTCAAGTGCAGTATCGTGTCCGCGCGCCTATTCCTTCCAGCAATAGAAATATATAGAGATTATAGAGACACATAGAGTCTAACTAGTATATTATTTCTATGGTTACAGCTCTGATCTGATCAACGAGGTGACAGCAATGCGCACGACTGAATACCTGGATGATGAGGATGAGTACATACCGTGGAAGACTGCGCTGAATGCGCTGCACTATATAGACTTGATGCTAAGCAGAACTGCATCGTACGGTCTCTTTCAGGTGTGTGGCGCCATCTAGTGGCACGTTTCTGTACTAGTTACGATGTGTGAGGTAGAATTGTGCAGTTGACTAGATGCAATAATGTAACTAGAGCACGTATATCATATCATATCATGTGAAATGTGCTCTGATGTAACCCAAGAGTAGTGTAACGATACTCTTGTTGGGTTACATTATTGTATCTAGCGGTTTACATACTAGACGGGCTCTTGCCAAATCTGGTGTGTTCTGGTGGTATGGGGTTAACTTCTGATACTGGTGGTAAGCTCGTTGCACATGTTTGCGAATTCAAAGCAACTTTCTGCTATTATAACTGCCGTATAGAGTAAACTGTAGTTCTCCTACTGCGGACGTGGTCTGGTATATGTTCCTTGTGTGATTACCCTGTACGAACCCGGATAGTTTCCCAACTCTGCCTACACCTTATCCTTTTTAATACATGCCTACTGCCTATTCCTATCCCTCGCTAATGCCTGTTCCCTGCGTCCATTGTGGATTTAAACACATTTAGCTTTTATAGTGTAACTATAAGTGATTATATTTCGGTCCCCTATGCACATTGTGAATTTGGTGATTGCGATTGTTGCAGGCGTATATGAGAAAACAGGTCGAGCTTCTGTACAGAACTTATGGCTGGCACGTCGACGCAGACGACACCGATCAGATGCTCACGTGAGTATAGAGGGCAGCACATTTCAAAACACCATGTTTTAATTATGAAAATCGTCGGCAGTGTCTAGGTGTCAGGGATGCACGCACACACGCTTGAATGCACGCACGCATAATTGAATTATTATTAAAATTATTTCATTATATTTATTTCAAATTATTAATTATTTGAGATTATCTACCATATATATATATAGAGTATATATATACACACACATATATATATATAATATATATATATAGTTATATCGCCTGTCTGTCAAATATGACTGTCACTCTACGGTACATGCCTCCGCTCCCAAACCAGGTTACTACGCATGGAGGCAACACATACGGCATGCACTTATGGCAGCAAAGACTGTCTCACAGAAGCAACGAACAAGTTTAACGAGTGGCAACAAAGTATCAACGCAGGAACTCCGTACCCGTGAGTGACATAACAGCGTATCTCTCTCAGAACGTATAGCTTTATGATTTGCTGCGATCTCTGGCAGGCCAGTCATTCGCCCTGGTACATGTTGAGATTAGAGAGAAAGAGAGAGATAGAGAGAGAGAGAGAGAGAGAGAGAAGGAGAGAGAGAGAGAAGGAGAGAGAGAGGAGGGAGAGAGAGGGGGAGAGAGAGAGAGAGAACACTACTAAAGACTGGTAGGAGACGTAATCTGTTCTCGTAATCATTCTCTGTTCCACATCAGTCACGTCACATCACAACGACACGTAAGACGGAAGACATGGGTAATATATAGTATTAATATAAAATAATAATAAAATAATATAATATTATTAGATATATTATATATTATTATAGATATTATTGT